GTGTCATTGAAGTTTAATTTTTGAATAATTTCACCCTTATCTACTTTCCCTTGGTTTAAGCTAAGGACTATATTTCAAACAGAGTACATTTCATAGACAATGAAGAAGGATCATATTTTTGACAGGTCATTTGATTGTTGTTGTACATGACCAGTTAAATTTAATAACTATTCACATATGATATGACATGGACATTACGCATATTCACATCATAATACCACTGCAGTCTCTAAGTATTCACAGTTCATCTAAACTGCATGAATCATAACCTCAAAATACAGTGCCAGTCCAACAATATTCATTATTGACTTCATATTATTCAAACAGTCTCCCATTTCCATGGTGATTCTTTATCCCACTGAAAGCCCCCGTAGCATTGATTCCACCTTACAGTCACACAGGCAGCATTCAGCTAAACAAGCTATAAGTGGACGACCTCATGTAGAGACAAACCCTGGTTGACAATCACTGTACACAATAACCCTAACCTGACCCACTATGCAACAAATCAAGGGCTTATTATAATGAAACATATAAAAAGGGATTCATGGGGAATAGACTATGAGGACATTAAAGAAAAAGAGACTTTAGGGGGTTCATTTGCATACAGCTGCACACAATATTACAGTGCGCACACACTGGACTGTGACTCCTTGCACGCGTACGCCAGACGCACACATACACAATGTCATGTGCGCACACTCATACACACACAAAAACTACAAAAGAATGGTAGACAGGCTTTCAATCTCTCTGTATATGAGCAACCTACTGTGCGTAGTACACATGCACTAATAGTAGTACTAGCTACTGCATAAATTAAAAAAATCCTGTAACACAGGCTACTGTTTAGTGTATACACACACGCCAATCTTTATGGGTGGGGATGAAGGCATACTATTCTATTCTATGGCAAAGTGGGAGTAAAACTTGAAGTGTATTTGTATCACCATGACATTAAAAGTGATTTATTACACCCGGTTAAGCGTCCAGAAAAAATGGCCTTGGTAATCCCATATATCACTGGGTCCTTACTTAGGATAGCAGCCTACATCATCTTCATATTTATTATGCACCTGTGACCAGTGTGACCATACATGTATGGCTACATGTGGGGCAACATATGAAAATCAGTTATAAGCAGGCTAAATGTACCTTATAATGATACATTGTACACAGGTAGTCTTTCCATGAAGACAATTATTTAGAACTTTTATTGTGTGTGATTATCATTGCTTGCTTTATTACATGTAGGGCCTATATAAATTTAGCCAGATCGATGAAGAAAAATTAAACGTAGTCAGGACCTGAATTAAAAGTTTAGAAAATCTTTTATTTAAAAATATATATATTAGGCTACCGGTAAATGTAAATATTTTTGGCACTCAACAGTTTTATTTTCTTCATTTTTCGGAGAAAAGGGAAGGTGATTACAGACAAAAGAACATAGAAAACTGAACGGGCAATAAAAAACCTATCCAGAGTTTATCTCAAGTCATTATGTACATGTATGTGCAACAGTCAAAATAATTGAGAAGTTTAAAGATAATATCTTATCTGATTGGAGATTGACTGTTTGCGGAACCCACCCAAATAGAAATAAATTGTACGGAAGCAATCAAAAAAATTCTTTACAAGTGTAGAAAACTAATCCATTCCGTGTTATGTTAAGAGATTACTATCAGTCTCCTCACATGTTGTGCGAGGTATCTGGGGACACATTTCTATAAATACAACAAAAAGTACTTCTTTTGTTTTCAGCCTGCATCACAAACGATATTGACGCAATTAGGAAATTAAATGTGTCATGACAATTTGGGAGGAGGAAAATGGGTTTTTTGAAGCAGGTAATGAAGATGAATGTTGTCAGTGAAAAGCAGAGGAAGATATGAAGGAGATAAAATCCTCCTTGTCTGGCAGGGTGCGCTCTACGGGCATAACTTTCTTCAGCCTTTTCCTGCCGCTTTTGATAAATGTGTTTCCCGTCATCGGCAATAATTAATTGCTACTGATCAAAATCTCCCATAGTTGTTCTTGAAATCATCTGTAGGTTCAAATCATAAATATACTATTGATTTGAATCATAACCTCAAGACCTTATCAAAATTACATCAAGAAAAGAAATTAGGTTTACTTGGAAAAGAAACATTTTGGCATGTGACCTTTTACGAATTTGGAATGAAAATTGGATATGTCAATTGTTTGTTTTGTTCATCAAAAGAAGAAATATGATGGGAATATACACATAAACGTTAACAAAGGTAAGTTACATTTTGTCAAGGACTTTAACTTTCCACCATGAAGCAACCTCTCATTTTATACTTCACAAACTCAGCACCAAACCCAAGAGCTTAATAAAAGTTTGTTTAGTATACATCATGTAATATATAAATCTGTAAAGCACTTTGAGAGGGCCTTCTGTCCTGTAAAGCGCTTTGAGAGGGCCTTTGGTCCTGAAAAGTGCTATTATAAGAACTAGCTATTATTATTATTATGTATGGTTTACTTTTAAATATGTCTGTCTCAAATTTTCATCAGTAAATCTGTATCACCAAATTGGTACAAAAAACATTTTTTTTCTTCTTTTCTTTAATGTACATTAACAAGTAGTCCTACACCTACTGTACACGTATCTACCCTGTAACAAATGTATAATTTCTATTTACTCTTATGTAATGGAGAATAAATACTTGACAATATTAAGTATTTGTTTCCACCTGATGCCCATCACTGTATTGTTTCTTGTAGTGTTGGTGTGGAAGACAAGTTACAGCCCGCATCTTAATTAGATTATGGTTCCGACAAGATCCACTTAATGACTAATAATGACCATCATATCCTGAAACGAACAGACTTTACCCTGCTCACATTTGAAAATGAACTATTAAATCTTCCGCAAGATCAACCTTGGGGTAATACAGTACAATGCACAATAATTATTATTTCAACACTGTTTCAAGAAATTGGTTATACAAATTTAACATTGTTTTAAAAAATCATTCAACTACCGGTAAAATAATATAATGACGAGAAAGTAAAGTAATATTCTAGGTAAGATTTGTACATTAATAATTCTCGATAACAATGCACTGTCAGCTTTGGGAATTTTTGAAGTATTGTGGTTTGTAAAGATTTTGAACACGTCAAGCATGGGTATCAAAAATCGCTTTTATAATTATATTTTCTTTCATTGCTATAGATGGCCTGAGGGAAGGAAGCAATACATTAATTTATTTACATAATACATATACATGGCAAAGTGTCCCCTCAACTCTGAGGACAGAACACTATCAAAATACAATGTAAAACATTATGTGAACACGCTCTTGACTTAACCTGACGAAACATAACATGCTTCTATCTTTTTCTTATCATCGGATGCATCTAGAATGCAAAATTTGTAATTGTGTTTCCGCAAGAATACCTATATTCAATCGGGAGTGATCTAGGCCTAAAGTGGTAGTGGTTGTCTCGTATGAAGTAAATTAATTAGCACTTACATTCCCTTCTCAGACAATCACAAGGTTGCGCTCCAAATTGCGGAGCATATGCAATTAGCACACCGACCCTACGCTAATACGAACCCCTACTCTTCAGCATTGATTTTACAATCACCGGGTAACAGTTAATTACAGATGCACTAATAGAATTTCCTCTTTCTATCAAATGAAGGGTGCTCTTGAGAAAGCGTATACCTACAGTTCTTCTAAACTCTCTCTCTCTCTCCCCCTTTCTCTTTCTTCCTCTCCCTCTTCTTTTTCCCTTTTCATCATTTCTTCTCTCTTCCTTTCTCACTATTTTCTCCCTCATCTTTCTCCTCTATCTAAATTTTGCTTCTCTTTCTATCTCTTCCCACCTTCCATCTTTTCCTCCGCATCATTTTTATTTGAATTGTTACTACCGAGTAACGAGGAGACTGAGATTGCTACGAGTGGAGGTTAATGACTAGGCCATATTCATCTTCTTGAGGCAGTTTTTTATGATTGAGTTATCACAAGATTCAATGCCATATAGAGCAGGGCTGTAGAGAGTGAAGGCGCACTGTACATTCAAATTAGTGTTACTGCTAGCATTATTAGCCTAGAATTACTTGTACATTGCGAGATTGGCCAACAATCCAATTTCTGTTCTCTAAAATTTCCCTCTTTCATCTAGACCTAAACAGGTAACCATATTTTGTCATGATAATAATAATAAGCATAATAATTACATTATCATACACAATTAAGTCAAAACATTGAATGAAAAAGAGGACTATTAAATGTATGGTAGTGCAGGCAGTTCTATTATATTTTTTTTCTGTCAAAATAATTACATTTGCATGATTTTATTAACAAATTAGGATTCTAAAGTAGCCATAAAACATCAAGGACAAGACACATACCAGAAATAATGAATACATTTATATTGATCATTCTATTGAGTGAACTTATTCTACTTTGTCTACCTTTATATTTTGAAGGTTCTTTTATGATTATAAACACAAAGATATATATAGTCTCATATATTTCAACAATGTGTGACCAAAACAAATTTCCAAGTATTCTTGTGAATTTGGATGAATAAAAGAATTGAATTTGAAATTGAAATTATATTTGTACCGCAGAGTTTCTTGCGTAGCAGACAATCTACTTCACAAGTAGAAGAACGGTATGGGGCTTGACTTGATTAGCACTTGTGCAATTTTTTAATAGCTCCTAATTATAACCTTCCTTAGGTAAACATATTACTAGTTATTTTGTTGGTAAAGAAAACATCAATGTCAGGTAATATTTGTAGTACTAGGAACTGCATTCATATTCAGGGATAATCAGTAACGCCTTAATCAACACACTACCAATCATACCGGTATTAGACATTTATCATGTACAGTACAATGCCTGGCTCAATAAGTAGAATATCACTGTAGAGCCAGTAGGTTTACGATGAGATGCACATCAGTATGGTAATCAATAACTCAAAGTAAAATTGAATAAATGGTTGCCTCTTTTTCTCACTCACTGGGGTGTGTTTGAAAATTGAAAGAGCAATGAACAGTTTCAGACTACCCTTGAACTTTGACCTCTCCTTAGAGCTGCATGGAAGTGACTGAGGAAAATCTCTCCGCAAATTTATTCTAACCCCTCATGGCCCCCAGTGCTCAAAAACTGCCTTGTCTGTGTTCAGCTCCAAGTACAGATTAACTATACTTGCTGTCTTTCCAATTCCAATCAAATGTATGCACAAACGTGTACAGTTAAATTTATTCATACCATTTCAAAGTTTGTAATTTGTAATTTGTTAAGTTTGTGTCAAATTGATTGGTCCTGATTTATGTTTCTTGAGGATGTGCTTACAGTGTACATCTAATGTGTACAACAAATGCCTTAATTTAGCCAGTCACCTTTCATTCCTGAGTTACGAAAAACACACAAGAACATCAAATTTACAAGCGGTATGAATAATTTAGTAAATAACTAGACATTAAGGGCATTTACACGACAAGCAAATACCATTGGTTTTCTCACATTCCTCAGTTTTGATGGAAGTTGCTAGGCAACCACCCATAAATAAGATAAATATTGGTGAACCATTCAATTCTTTGGTTACACACAACTCTTTTTTTTTAATTTGTATTAAGTAGCTTTGAATCCCCATCCATAAATATCTAATATATGTTGAAGCAGCTACTACACTGTAATTTGTATACTTTTTTCCAATCTCAACATTTTGCCCCCTTCAATTTCAACACAACGTCACATGGTTACCCTGAATGTACATGTACCTTCTCCTTTCTTTCGGAATCTACAGTATCAAGTTATCAATAATACATGTTTCTGATGAAGATAGTGGTTTACTTGTTGAAGTTGCTGTAAATGTACCTCATTTTACCACTCTTTCTTGGTTATTTCTGTAGTCCCCATAGCCTTGTTTTAGAGCAAAGATCTACCTGATTGGCACAACCCCATAGGTGCTTGGAACGAAAAAAAATAGGGCTCAGCGAAAGGAAGGAACATAGCTGAACAAGAAACGCGATGGAGGCGATTGCCCCACTGCCAGTGACTGCTGGAGCCGTAAAATGCCCCGTTAAATGTGCGAACCTGGGCCGCCTCTCTGGGGAGATCGGAGCTGGCTTAATTCTGATGGGGATGAGGGAAATTGCACTTTGGCTCTTATTCTTCTCCTAGCCCCCATTGACCTTAAAATCTTGGGCAGTGAATTCCAAGCTTTGCAGCTACTCCGCAACATAAAGCACAGGCTTTATTGGGAATCCAGGCTTGGTGGAATAGGTAAGGCCTGTACTTGATACATGCTTCTGTAATTTCCTTGCTCTCTAAAGCAGGGTTAATGGGTTTCAAGGAAACATACATGGGAGGGAATGTTGGACTTGATCTGGAACTGTGGAAAACGAATTGACAAAAACCTTGGATTCCATCTTACACTCCGGTCTATTTCCTATTGGCAGTTCAAAGTCTACTGCCGTTTAGTGGCAAATAGAACAGGCAAAGAACATGATTTTCATAGTTTTATCATTTTTATACACAATAACAATACAGGACATAAAAACCACAAAATGGGTAACACCTTAATCCTGAAGCTTTAATTAAAACCATAATTCTTCTTTTCTTGTGTCTTTATACGATATAAATTTAGGAAAATTTGGAAATCACAATACCGGTATTCAATTCTCCTAATAATATTGAATAAAGATTTAATATGTTAATGCAAACTGAAAGAGTACGCTACATTATCAAATGGTGTACAGTGTATTCATAATTCGTCCAATACTCTACAATAGGAGCAATAAAGAGTGTATGGCTTGAAGAAAAAAGACAATGATTAGGCCTTTATCCTCCAGACAATTACTGTAAGCCAGGGGTAAAGGAACTTATCAAAATCGCATTATCACAACCCCCATTTAAAACACACAAGGTAAAATTTTCCATGATTTAATTTCAAGCGAGTATTTTGATGAGAGTTCAATACAAAGAACTCCAAACAAAGGCTGACTGGAGCTCAGAGTGATGATGCAGTACTCTAAGCATCCCCAATCACACACTCACACTTGCATAAATCAACCTGGCAGTCATTGTAAACAACCATCAGCATTCATGGATTCACTTTACTCTCACACTATACTTTAAAAATGCTCTATGTACATGTACATTTTGTAAGTGGTATTGGTGTGTTATGATAAATTTGGCAATTATTGTATGTCTTGTTCTTAATAGTTGCTGCTCTATGTTGCAAAGATAACAAATTCTTCCCCTACACTTCAAAACATGACAATCTATCCATGAAAAAACACCGCCATATTCATTGACACATCGTGTACAATGTAAGAATTATGCAACATAATAACTGCAATACTTTTAAATCAAAACAGTCACAAAAACAAAACAGAAAAAAGTGATTAAACTAAATTACCTTGCTTGTAGTTGGATGCTGAATGATGTTCAGAGGCAGCTACATTTCCATTCTTTCGGCCACCCTCACCCGTTGGTGGGGAAAACATCTGCATTGTCAGAGGAAAGGAAAGGGAAAAAAAAGAGGAAAAATCAGATCAAACATTTGATATTCATATAGCCAAGAGAAAGTGGATATTTTACTCTGGCAGCTTTAGTGAATGAACTTTGCTGCATTGCAAGGCAACAGAAAATGATCTCATACATGTACATGTCAGCTACATTGTACGTGTATAACTGAATCATTCTTCACTACAATCTTTGCAATTAAATTTCCTGCCATGAAACAAGGTCGTTCGTAACATTTATAAATTATAGAACTATACTACTGTACATACATGTATATCTGTTAGTATTTATTACATGTACATATCATGTAGATGAACTTACAGTGTATTTGTGATGAGAATGACCAGTTTGCAGCAACTGAAAACAAGGAATATGAAATACTTACAGTGTACATGTTTTATCAATAATCATTGAATTGGAGGAAAACAAATAATTATCATTGAATTGCATGTCTTATGTATCATAATTCAGGTGCATCCATGTACATGTAAATGACATATTCATGCACATGTAATGTGCAATGTACAGTACATTACATGTATGCAAGATGAGTTGTACAGCAAACCGATTTTACATACTATAGTGCATACAGGTACTCTGTACTTGTGGGACTCGTATTTTAACTAATGGGTCATGATATCTTCCAGCAAAATCTAATGAATTGCAATAATCATTCCTCTATGCCTTAAATGGTGCACTTGATTGCTCATATCCTAATATATATACGGGATAACCCGATGAAAAGGGGAGCGTAATATTATGCGCAGCGATAAAAATCAGCCATATGAGAGTGGAGTGAAGACGATCCACTTCTCGCTCTTCGGCGGATAATGGGGCGAGATTATCTCTGCCAGAGTGGGCCCTTGAGCGTGTCAACTGAATCTGGCTGGATACTCAAGTCGCTGTTGAAAGCTGGAGAAGAAAAAAAATTCTTCAACCCTTGTACTCACTTGCCCTTCCTTTGATCACTGCAATGTGTATTCATAAGCCTTCATATTCTTTTCATATTTATACACACACTGTATTGCACTGTCAAAATATAGCTAAATTTTCATGGTGACCTGACAATAAATTTCAAACCTATCAAATTTCTAAGAAGACATGAAGAACAAAATGCGTTCAAGATTAAAATTGAATTTACAGCAAACATACAAGTATATGTACATGTATTTAGACTATATTTTGTACATTTACAGTCTACAGTCTTTTTATAATTCAAAAGAAGGGTTCATTTTATTTGTGTCCAAATAAATGTTTACATGCCTACAACCTGGCAGTCATTACCTGATAACCTACATGTACATTTGTATGTGGGGGACAATGTACCTGTATTTGCAATTTAACTGATACTTAGTCATTAATTACAAGGTAATTAGTACAGTTTGTACACCATTTCCAACAATTTTTGATCTACCAAAATGTACAGCATACATGTACATTGCACATCTGCAAAAATTATTGTTTACAATTTTATTTGTAAATACCTTTTTTTGATCTACAGGCTTAATCAATTTTAAGTTCAAATATTTAGTAACAGGATTCTCATCAGTTGGGACTTTATTATCCAAAATCAGCTTTAATTATTGTCATTGATTACATTTAGGACTAGCATATTTTGTTCTTATATATACCGGTATATTTATTATCTTATTGAGTTAAATGAATATCTTCATGGTTAACATCATGTATGTGTAATGTATCATATTTAACCAATCACTCAAAAAGTAATGCGTCAAGATCTTAAATTTCATGTGGTTCACCCCACAAAACAGGAAAGAATACAACACGGTGTGTAATCTTTGAGTGGCTGAAATCTCTTCTACTCGCCTCACTGAGCACACAAGTAACAGCATATGGGACTGTTCACAGGGTAAGTCATTACTCATACTCCTTGCACTTGGAATTCATTGTAAAGGAGACTGAAATACCGATTAAAACAATTATGAAAGCTATTAAAAATAACTAGTGCAAATACATGCATAAAGATTTAAGCAAAACATGAAAAAAATAGTAAATTTGCTCTACATAATTTCAAATTCTAGTTCATCAGTGTACAGTTTGAACATATAAATATACATAGATTTAGCATTGATAAATCATCACTCTGTTCTTCTTTCTTTTTCTTTTGCTAAAAAGGGTTGAGTACTTTTTCTTATATATCTCTAAAGTTGAGCACTAATATATATATATATATATACATGAATACACTGTATGATCATTTATGCAACAGTAGAATGTTAATCTTTGTCAAATGACTTGTTACAATGTACAGTGTACACCTCAATGCAGATTGTTGGTGGTGACATTGTAACTATCACATTTACCACATGCATTTGTTTATCAAGCGCATTTATAATGCATGCATATACCAGTAATGTTAAACTGAAAAACACACAACCATGCTTCCAGCCAGTCTCTGGCATGAACAGTATGCGGTAAAATCAAATACCGTAAAAAGATATACCAACACAAGGTTTTAATGTTTGAAAAGTATGATTTACCTTATAAATTTGTTATGCAATAAAGCGGGAACTAGTTTAGATGAAGACAATCTTTGTGCTCAGTAAAGTACATTGTAAAGTTATTTGAGAGATAAATTTAAACTCAAATAAAATTACTTAGGACATATACAATACTGTGCAATAAAACATGAAGAAAATATCTTGACTTCATGCAAATTTCACAATTCCAAACAAAGTCTCTACAGAAAATGAGGGATCAACAATTTCACTTTTATGATTTTTAATCTTTTACACAAGTGGTCCAGGAGTACACCTTTATTATCAATTTCCGCACACCTTTCAAAAAAGGAAAATGGGCCTCTCAGAATCATGAAACTAAACTGCTTCAATTGAACATTGTCAAAAGATTAGGTGAATGCCTACAAGGAATGTGATCAAGGATGATTTCCCACAAGGTTTTAATAATTCTTTCAAAATTAGTTTCTATTGACAATCATCTATTGTTCAACTGTATCAGTTGATCAAAGGTGCAGAGACAAAAATCTTATTACATTATTTATCAAACCTTTGACAGTGCTTTTTTTGTCAATGTCTGCTAATAGTAATATTCACTTGAAATTACTTCTGCACTTAGTGCTCATATTCTCAAACGAAATAAGAATTACAACAGCGGATATTTAGGAAATAATTCAAGCTGTTATTAAACATGCCTTATCACACAAATTATATATCTTCACAGTGAAAGAGGGAAAATTTGGGGGTAAGAATTTTCAAGAGATTATTAAAACAGAACTGTTTCATACAATGCAGGTTGGCTTGTGTACGTCCAAAAGACACAGAAATTGTTCGAAAAGTATTTCCCTCAAAATGCCACTTGGTACTTTGGCAGTAGTTTCATGGAATTAGGAATATTAGACAAGTTGTGACTAAATATCTTGTTTCTTATAATTTGTGTGAATTTGATTTGCATGGCAAGAGAATTGGATTTTAAAGAAATGTATTACATTTTCAGCATCGTGTTTACATGCACAAATATGTATGATCATGTGATGTACATGTATTTATTTACATATTTGGAACTTACCGCACTGAAGTCAAGCAAGTCGCTCAGCTCCTTGTCTGATGTAATTTTTCCCGGCATGCTATTCTGCATCTTGACGTATCCCTGGAATGATGAATCATTAAAAACAGTACGAAATAACCAACTTTTGGAAGACAATCATATTTATTACATTACAATTTAGTACATTGTACATTACTGTACATTCTTAATCTCATATCCCTCAATCAACTGCGTGCACAATGTAATGTTACATCTTCATGTAATAAGGAGCTACATTGTACATGTATTTAAAGGCTTTACTATTATTATATTCAAACTACTCTATATTTCTGACATACCGTACACACAATTACTTCAATATTCAAACACATTAAAAAACTCCAATAAGTTTTGAAATTAAATAACATGCCTATGGAACAGACGATACTGTGACAAATAAGAACATTTGTATTTCAATTTGGAGAATTTATTAGTTTAGCTACAATGCAAGATTTAAAAAAATACAAATGAATATATTATGGAATGTACAATTAGAGCATAGGATACATTTACAGGGTTTCTCAATTTCCTGGGTAAGCGAGTGTAAAGTAGAGTTTGAGATAAGATACATGTACATGTACCTGCCTGAAAGGCATTCCAAATGCTCATCTTGCAGTTTATCAACGTTATCAAAATGATACAATTTTGATGAAAATCAGATAATTATTCATGATGGGACGGTTCTGCGCTGATATCATCTTAATGCTAGAAGAGTACATTGTATGTTCAATAAATAGCAAAGAAGCAATCACTGAAATTAAAATGACTTTGATTTTGATTTTTGATATGTAACTACCCTATATGACCAGAAAAATCAGACTTGATATCTATGTAGTATGTACAAATGAACCTGACATCATCCAATTTATATACTTTTGAGCTGAGATGAGGGAACAACATTGGCCAAATGATCATTTGTCAGATCAGATCAGAATCTCAATATCTACTCACTTTGTTTGGCTTGGCCGCTTTTTATTACAATCCTATACCAGAAATGAAAGATACCGAAAGAAATTTTGGGCAATATTTGTAGTTCCATTTGGAAATGTCACATGAAATATTTCATTGGACATTTGCTGTAATATTGGACATGTACAGGGAAATTCCATTTTAATGAGATCTCAAAAGACAGAAAAGACAGGCTTGTTTATAGAGGGCAACATACAGTACATTGTACATGTACAGAACCTGCATACAAGGAACATGCAGGAGTACACAATACACTCTATAACGTCTTTGTATTAGCACATTAATAATAATAATGGTGAAGTATCACAGTAATTATCAGATTTAAATCTGTTAGTCCACATCTCCAAGACCACTAGTGGCTCATTCTAACACATACAGTACAGTACATATTGGCTCTAAGCTCACTTTGCTGGCAATCAGGTAAACTATTTGAATCAATCAGTCAATCAATCAAATCAATGTGAGATTGAGGAATATATTACACTGTGAAAGCATTCTAAAATCTATCAATTGAATCTTCAAAATGTCAATGTTGACAGGAATTTTGAGCATTCATGTACACATATAGATAGGCTAACACTAACAGATAAACACATTGTAAACAAACTTACAATAATACATGGAAGATTTATACTATAATCATTTCAAAGCTAATCTGTCACGATTTCTATTAAACTGAACTCTTTTTTTTGGGGGGGGGGTGGTTGTCTTCTGTAGGTTTGATTGTTTATCATGCAGTACTGTAGATGAATTGTTAGAACCATGAAAAACAAATAATAAGATGTGCTGCATTAACAAGTCTCAGGCACTGTAAACTGTAAAGCACAACTCATTATTAGTTTGATTTTTTTGTTTAAACATTTTCTTGCTTTTTCACAAAGCTATGGTAGTTTGTGGCAAACTGGTTTAGCACCATGATCCATATTCTTGAACAATCAATGTACAGAAAAAATGTAAGTTCACTATAATTCTGGGAAAATTATTTATTTTTCGTTACCAGAACTCTGTTTTATAAAGGGAAATGCAATAAGTATCTTCTTTTTATTATTTTTTCTACTGTGCTTATATGAAGATTTATGAAGATCGCTGACAGTGCAATGTTTTAGAAAATGATAAACAGGTTACATGTTCATCTGGATATTCTATTTTGGATTTTCCTTTTTTTTTAATTTTTAATGTAAATAGTCTGCTATGACAAAAAAGGTGCAGTGAAGAGCATGTTAGCTCTGGACAGATAAAAAATAACAATTGAAAGTCATACTTTGAAATTTGATACTTTTAACAATCACTTTTTAAATTCATATTTACTGCACAGTAGGAAGTTGCCAGACATTTTAAAAACTATGTTCAATGTTCAATTGCTGAACTGTATTTTAAATAAAATTTGATTTGTGCAACTGCGTTGTTCAACAAACACCTGCATACTGTATTACTGTTCAACTCTACTTTCCTTCACTTCCTCACACCTTGAACCATTGAAAACAAGTGTCTTACCCCATCTTGAGTCCTTCATGAAAAAGTCATGGCCACAACAACCATGCAGAGGTAGAACATGAATGTACATGTACACTAAACTACCAACACCAAAATGAAGTCAGAATTTTAAAATTTAATCAAAACATTTTAATTTCTTTAAATCAATTAATGATTAATCAAACTGTTATAATGGGATCTACTGACTGTAAATTACATGTACAGTACATCCCCAATTTAACATCATTAGTTTTTGCAAAGTCCAGAGAAAATTGATCGACTGTTCAAGAAAAATAGATGTACATGTACCTGGCACCATAAACCAGGGTAAAATATGATTGATCAGAATGGATAAACACAATCAATAAATTGATTTACACAAAATTATAAATGTAGTGCAGCAAATACTACACAAATAACACACAAAAGTGCAATCTACACAACATTAATTTAAAGTATCTATAGAGTAATAAAGTGCTAACATCATATTCGCTCATCGTCCAGGTTGTTAGTTCCAAACAAAAGAGCCTGCGCATTAGGTTCACCGCAAAACCATTCAAGCAACAGGCTGGAACACTGCAAATTCAGTGTTTGGTGTGATCCCCATGCTTTTGCAAGATTGTTTGGAACCAGCCACCTTGACAGCTTGGCCAGTAAGGTGTCACACTTGGTACTCATTGGTATATCATTGCTAATATATTAGCTGAGTTTGCGTAAGTTGCTCAAGCATTTAAGGAATTTCTTCCAAATGGTACTTGTACCCATATCCCGGGTAAAGAGTGGCAACTCTATTTTCATGAATGTCTTGCCATAGGATTTTTTTTTGGGGGGGTTGTATATAATGTACGATTGCAAACAACATCAACTTCAGGTATCAACAGATAACTGTTGACAGCTGGTCACACCAGCAGTACCTGTAACAAGAGTCCCAAATAGACCAATCAAACTGGTTTTCTGCTGCTCAGATGTTGTTATGCTCCACAAGTCTATTTAAAAATATAAGTAACACATCATTTCAAACACATCAAACACAAGAAATTTCTGGAGCAGACAATGTACTGTACGAATGTGGAAGTGTACACTTAAATTGCAAAATATGAACAAACCATTACATTTCATCCAATTGAATGCAAATCCAGTTAATGTGCACATGTATACTACACTATTGATGTGCAAACAAAGTTAACTTCACTTCTGATAATGAGCACCCTACTGCATGTATAACAAATTGGGTAATTTTATATTTCAAACATTTGGTGTATCGTAATTGATAGAACACATTTAACAAGTTATCAAATGAAGCCTACTTCTACTACCTGTAGAACAATTCTTTCTTTACAAGGGCCTATACATTTACTTTTAAAACATGATTATCTGGGACAGCCTTAAACCACAGACAGAAACAGCTATCACGGGCACTTCCTAAAAGAACAAGTTGATGGCGTATTGCCATCAAATCGCAGAATGAAGACACTTTTGGCGCCTTTTAACACAAAACTAATCTCTATTTTCATAAAGTCAGCATCAAATTGGCAATGCTAAATCAGCCTTTATCCTACCATGGGATGTTACTTGCATTCCGCAAGTCGTTTTGAACTGTGCTTTTGGTGGCAATAGGTGCTAATTGTACTTTCGGACCGTATGCCTAAAAATGTGATTCTGTTACATAAAATGGACAGAAAAGACCCCTTCTAAAGCGTAAATCAAAAGTCTCACATTAAGGTCTTTCCTTTGCCTTTGAACTTATATTTCAGAAGACGACCAGAGTGTTGGCTCAGTCAGTAGAGCGTCTGCCTCACAACCGGGAGGTCGTGGGTTCGAACCCTGGCCGCGTCATATCAAAAGACGTTAAAAGATGGGAGTTGTTGCTACCTTGTTTGGCGTTCAACAATAAGGGATAGAGCAACGTTGATCTGGCGCTGCTCAGTGGCTGCCGGGCTCACGATCAATTGGGCAAGAAGAATTTCCGTTTCGGTTTAATAAAATTTGGAGTGGACTATTAGGCTAGTATTATTATTATTATTATTATTATTATTATCTACAGCTCACTCCCGTTTATCAGATGATGATGATTTGTATTTCATTAAACAGAGTCAATGAAATCACATGTTTAGGCACCTGGTGGGAAAGTACACACTCAATGAAGGTCAATGACATAACCCAAAAATGTAGGGGTTGACTAAATTGGACATTCGCGATCCCTTAGATTACATTGCATGAACGGGCCACAGCACAGTCTCAGCTCAGCCACTACCACTCAACTCTCAAGTTGCGGCTATGGCCAACGCACATCAATAGTCATAAGCACAGTCACGGTACGGGTTAGACCGAAAGTTTCATGTGATATCGACGGTGAACCGATGGTTTCGCTGAGACTATGCGTCTGGCTGCACTGACCGCCTCTACACAGAGACTGAGCTGAAGCACATCGCATCATACAGGTTAAACGCAATGCACTTTTAAAAAAGGACAGATTAGCTGAAAGTAAGTCCTTATAAGTTATATTTTCATGTTACGGGTTACGGTCTGTGTATGGGAAAGGTTGACAAAAGTAAGTTCTATTAATTCCCCATAGGGTCTACAAGACAGTTATTTCTGTCTAATGAAGTCGCAGTAAAATCTATACTTATCATCATGCTAATCTAGATCTAGATTTTTTTTTAAAGTTTATCAATATCATCTAACAATATCACTCATCAGGAACATTGATTAGATTTCTTAATCTAGACACTAGATAATCATAACCCAAGTTATGATATGACAATACTTGTAATATCACTTGCAAAGTGTATCAGCTTATATGCTTTATAATAATGACAGTGCACTGGCAGTTAGTGGGAAGATCTCAACCCCTACTCGTTCCAGTTCACTTGTGCCCGAAACCTCCCGTTCAGCGACTAGCCATAGAGCCCCCTGTGCGGCGTTATGGGCACTTACAGGTCAATCGCTACACTCTCCGCGTGAATTGCCCGGTCGCATTGAGATAGAGGCGATAGAAGCAGCCTACGATTTTTCGAGTTAAACATACCTGATTTTCTGACCAGTCACCGCTCCAAAATTAATGTCCGATGGCAGGTATACAACATAATTCACATAAAATATATCCTGTGGAACAATTCCACTGGTCCTTACAGGCAGGCGCCGTTAGACATCAGAAAAGGGCAATACACATGTTATCAATACGACTTCAGAGATAGCACGAACAAGCAGGCAGACATCTTTTTCTTGTCTCTCGCTATATCAGCTTTGTTGTTGTGGTCTGATTTGGTATTCCTCCGCGGTGTAATTCGCATTCCGAACTATATCAACCTGCTAAATGTTTGGCATCCATGCAGTGTCTCTATCTAATTACAGTTTCTTTGTGTCTCAAAAACAAAGATGTAATTTCCGTAATGCATGCAATATTATGAATTAAAACCTTACTTTAGCAGACTAAATTGTTAATCCGCACAATTTATAGTATATGTGATGCGGCTACACTGTGTTTTCATACATTAAATTTTGTGTGCGGTTTACGGTCGAGTCACTCCGAGAGTGCTCGGATCGGGCGAGTAGTGCGAAATACTCGCCTCGCCATTCATTGGAAAGCGTGCGAAGAGACGAGGAGGCACGCTTGAGGAATGACAGGCAATTATTTGATATATTGCCGAAACAACAAAAGCTTACTTTTTTCCTGAAAACAGTAGGCTTCAACGCTCGCGCTTTTTTGTTCCGAAGAATGGGAAAGCAGAAGCAAATAAAGGAACTGAAAGAGACAACGGGCTTTAGTATCTCACCCCCGTTTGTAACATAGCGAAGCGTGTGCCGAATTGAATAGATATTAACGAAGACCTGTTACACTGCTACGCTCAATCAAATTATTGATTCAAATTTTCTTTTTCATTTCATTGCAAGTGAACAATGAAATGGTGATGGGAAAAATCAATTCACCTGAAATCATTTAAAGTGTGATGGGGTTTTCAGAGTTGGGCTATGATTTTAAACAAAGCAAAGATCACACAAATCATGGAAAATAATGGTTGAAAACGGAGGCATTTTTTGGAATGCATTTTTTTTTCTTTGTTTCGGGCGTGTACAGGAAATAATGATGCAATGTGCATGAATATATACAAAAACACCATACGAAATGAGCGATTTCCAATGACACTCAAACTGAGATACTTTCCTATAATGGGCCTACTAGTAAAGGCTTATTGCAAATTGGGTCCGATCGGTTATTTGAAGATAGGTTCAATTTAAATTTGAAAGCTCAGGAAGAAAAACAATTGTATCTATATCGTGCTTAGACCTATTTAGAGGATTACAATAATGCTCAAAATGTAACGGCTATGATAGAGACACAACAACATGCATAATGAAATAGGGAATTGATATGTTCATGCAAAATGATACACACCGATAATTTTTGTTATAATATTTGTTTTATTTTTGAGCTACTGGCTCTGTGCAGAACTATCGCAATTGGGACGTATTGAAGGGGGCATTTTCCTACTAAAGTGCCCCTCTGACAAAATTCTTATGATGATCACCAGGTTGGTCATTATAAGAAAGGGGGTTCGAGACCACAGGGTTAAGTTTAGGAGTTCCATCAGTCTGAGAGCAATAATCGTGAACTTTTAAACAAAATTGAAGAAAAAAACAGGTTTTTATTGACATTGTCTCTATTATTTTGTTAATTAGTTGAGCCCCGCACAACTTGCTCAGAGTATGCTGGGTCGCCATAATAAGGTCTGACGTTTTGCGCCCCCTGTATAGCGAATGAAGGGATATATGGATAATTTACCTAAATAGAATAAGAATACTGGTCGTGGAAAAGTCGGAAAATTAAATAGAAGGAGATGAATTTCTAAATGTTTAACTATTATTGATAACATTTCCATCGCAATGTATTTCATCTACCCTTTCAATTCCTTGAGGAATAAGTTGTAATTCTAGGGGTGCAAAACGTCGGAGCTTATTATGGCGACCCAGCATACTCATAGCAAGTTGCGCAGAGTATTATAATATATGACTAATTATTCTTTCAGTTTCTCAAGAAAATCAAGCATGGAGGCCTATATAATGTATTCTACATGTAACAAAATAAGTGGAGATATTTGAAAAACAATGAGTCAATTGCAATATTGGGATACGACAAACAGATTTTTTAAGAAATAATTTAATATAATATTATATTGCATTATTTCTCTTTTATCCTCCAAAGTGCGTATAGTTTTGTAAAATCATTACTGCAGGGATTATGTTTCTGCATGTACAGCAATAGGCCAAATTACAAGGAAACAATTTTCCTTTATATCATACAGATCAGAGGCAGTGGTATAGCATGAATGGGTCGATTTTTAAAGGGGGTTTATATAATGGAAGGATATGCATGTCAAGGAGAGCCGACGGGATTCCCGATTCCCCCCCCCCCCCCCCCCACAATCCTCGATCCGCCTCTGGGGAGATCACAATAATCATAAAATAGGCCTCATGATGGTTATTAACAAAAATCTTTTAACAAGGGTGGTTAAAATATTGACGTCATTAATCTATTACAGCATAATCAACGAATCAAAGTACACCAAAACGCAATGAAGTGTTTACAAATAATCAATTTTAATTTAGCCAGTGGGATACCGGAAATGTGATTTATTAGGAGTTGTAATAATAAACTGACCTAAATTCATGACAAGTCTACGTAAGAGGCCCCGTTACATTTTATCCCAACATTTCCTCCCGGTTTCCTCTCTATACTCATGCGTTTATTTAGGGAATAATGTGAATTCTCTTTTACAGAAAATAATAATAATAATGTTTGCGAATGAAGTTGCAAATGACTGCTGAATTGACACTGTGGGATTCTGATGAGGGACTGACGAAGGTTATATGGGTGAATAGAAACATAAAACAAGAACTATATTACAGAGTATTCTTAGTAGCGCAATTAACTCAAGTCTATTTAAAATAAAAGGTGTGGGTGATAGCAGTATAAGAGTATTATAATCAAAATTGACCATGATAAAATCAAAGACATAATAAAACGTTGAGAATCGTTTCATTTTTAATGAATTTTGAATTGCATTATATAACCTGCATGTTTCTTTGATGAATTTAGATACAACCAAACATTTTTTTGTTTACAAGTATTAATAAGTACATGCAGGCGCGTACGCAGGGGGGGGGGGGGGTTGGGGTTAAACCTCCCCCCTTGAGTTTTTTTTATGTGTATGTTTTGTGTATGATTTTTGTGAACCCCCCCCCCCCCCCTTTTGATTTTTTTATGCCAATGGCTGACCTAAAAAAGGTGAGGTGACCTTTGCGAAATTTTGGGCCCGATTTTAACCCCCCCCCCCCCCCTTGAAAAAAATCCTGCGTACGCCACTGAGTAGGCCTACATGAAAGGCTTGCAAGACTGATCTGATACTCCTTTCCACTTTGTGTAGTCCAGTATCTATCATGACTGTTTCATTCCATTGATGATAATAATTATGCACAACATCGTGATCCTCTGCCAACCTTTTCTTCAACGCCTCGCTACTTTTCCAGAAAATTTGAATTTTGGGACATAATTATGATCTTTATTAATATACCTCGAAAGACTTTCACGAATATCAACATGGTAAAGAAAAATAAAATATCCATCGAAATTTAATTATAATTCACTTAAGTCATAAAAACAAAGTTAAAGAAAGCAAGACCAAACCGTGATGAAAATAATGTCAGACAATATGATAAAAAGGGAGAAAATGGAATACAACAAAAGCGGGGTATATTGCAAGTGCTTATGCTTTCATCATTTTGCTTCTATAATACATGATCATAATTGATAAGTCCATTTCGGAAATCCGCAAATTATTTCTCTCATGGTCTCAGCTCAAACTAAGAACAAAATTAAACTAAATTCATCTTTTAGACCCTGAGACATGATTATCTCATTACCATTTAAACAAACACGCATTTGTCGTAGGGTGTATAGTGGCCATTAAAACATTCAAACACATGCTGGGTCGGTATGTTGGCCTTTTGACACTTTCCTTGTTTTGTTCAGTCTTTACTGACAATGAGAAAAACATACACCCGTTTCCTGTATACTTTTTATCATTACTTGCCACGATTTGTGATGTTATGATATGCATAAACAATGGACTGCTCATTCATATTGAAGAAAAAAAAATCACCTGGAAAATATATTATTAAAATATGGTATGAGGGGCACTTAATTATAACTAGCACGGAAGAATTAGGGCAAAAAAAACATGAACAAAAGATAAGAAAGGGACCCGTTTCTTTTTATTGCGAAGGACATTGTTTCTATTACAGCTGATGCCAGAGGGATACATTAGAAACTTCGGGGTAGCTAATAATTAATGGGAGAGGGCTACGTCTGCCCCTCTGATCATGTCTTGTCTCTTCTTAACGACCCTATCATCAATTTTAAGTAAGACTATACTACTTCGATGTACTTTTTTTTTTTTTTTTTTTTGATAATTATGCAGCTTCACACAGGGTTAATTGGCACATTTAAAACACTGCGTTTTTAAAGCAGTATCTTAAACGGATACAAAATGCATAAGAAATTGCATTTTGGAGGGTTAAAAATGCAAAAGAAAATATACCGCAATTTCATTGTTTGCCCCAGATGCCATATACCTAGAAATGTCACATTCGCCACTGGTGTTACTGTGAACGACTCTGAGAGAATTAACGTGTTTAAAAAAGAACACTGGTTTTACATAAATGTTATTGTTGTTGAAGCAGCATACAGCATTATCAACTTGTTTAAAGGTAAAGACCAGTATTGGCAACGCCCCAATTTCAAAAAATGAAATGGAAGCTCTCATTACCAATCATGTGAAAGAATATGTTTTGACTAATACATGATGATAAAAAATTTGCCGGGAAACCGCCTACTAATTCATATATTTGGTAAATTTATTTCTCTCATGGTCTGGTGAGAGAGATAGGGTAGTCCCATATACATCTTTCTGTGTATAGTGCTTGTAACTTTACAAAGAATGAGCCAAATTTCTTATCATTTTGATGATTCCAGAACCTTGCAGATGCTAGATGCTAGATGATCGACCTTTTCTGATCGATTCCACAACGTTTCTTTCACAATGCAATCGCATGACCATTACTGGTCTTTACCTTTAAGTGCTCGTAATATAGGAAGGATCGATGATGATGGTGATGATGATGATGGTGATGACGGTGATGATGGTGATGATGGTGATGGTGATGATGGTGATGATGGTGATGATGGTGATGATGATGAAGAGGAGGAGGAGAAGGTAGCTCTATAATTGAATGGATGATGATGGTAAAGGTAACAAACATTATCATAATCTTGTTGATGAAAATGATGATGATAATGACGATGACGATGATGATAATGATTGTGAAATTGATGATGGTGGTGATAACGATGCAGACCATGGTGGTAGTTGTAGTGGTGACGGTGACAAAGACTATTATGGCACGTCACCTTGTCGGTGT